GCCCTGAAACGTATGTGTGGACCATTTGATACTCATAATCCACCATGCTCAGCATTCCAAATAAACCCATGTGGATTAGTAGAAAAGAAAAATACAAGCCCGAAAGTTTATAGAGTTATTTCACATTTATTTGCCTCAGCTATAGCAAGTATAAATGATGGCATCGATGGTAGCGAATTCGCAACTAAGTATGAAAATATAAATCATGCAATAAGATGGATTGCACAATATGGAAAAGGCTGCTTACTATCCAAAATTGATATAAAAGATGCATACCGTATATTACCAGTACACCCAGTTGATCAAGTACTTCAAGGATTACAATATAATGACAAGCTCTATTTTGATAAAGCACTAGCATTTGGTAACAGAGCATCAGGTGGCATATTCTGCAGATTCGCAGATATAATCACATGGATTGCAGTAAAACAAGGAATCAAGTCAATTATACATTATGTAGACGATTTTTTAATAATATCCAAACAAAATGCTAAACAGGAATTACATCAATTCTTACGAATATTAGATATTCTCAATGTTCCCTACAAGCCATCAAAACTTGAAGGCCCATGCACAGTACTAACTTTTCTTGGTATTCAAATTGATACAGTGAATTTCTCTGCATCTATCCCTAAAACAAAAAAGGAGAAAATTCTAAAAACAATTGCTGAATGGAGCAACAAGAAATGGGGTTACAAGAAAGAGATACAATCATTAGTTGGTTCACTCATATGGTTATGCCAAACAATTCCACAAGGTCGACCCTATCTTCAACATTTTATCAAAGCAATAAGCGGGCCCAAAAAATCAAAGCTCTGTATAAAAATAACAAACCCAATGAAAGCTGACCTACGGTGGTGGTTCAGAATTCTGCCAGAATGGTCAGATGTATACTTCCTAGAAAATAGAACATGGTTACAACCAAATATTAAAAACTTATTCACAGATGCATCCAACCTAGGTGGTGGTGCAACATATGAGCAATATTTTACAGCATTTAACTGGAGTATATCAATGAACCTAACAGCAAACAGTATTCAAATGCGTGAGCTTCTAACATGCCTAATAGCTATGCTTACATTCACACCATTATGAAACCAAAAACGCTTAATCATGTGGACAGATAACAAGGCTAATACAGATGCCTTCTATTCAGAATTCTGCAAAAACATAATAATCAACGATATAATTGCAGATATGTACATAACACAAATTCGAGGCAATTTCTCTGTAAAACTAGAACATATCCCAGGCAAATACAATACTGATGCAGACCTATTATCACGCAACGGTCACAAAGAATATATAGCATGGAACCCTCTAGCATGGTACCTGCAACCTGTTATCCCAACTCATTTTACTAACCTGATACTACCAATTCCATCTTTAATCCATTAGAAGTGCACAAAATATCAAGCAACTACACAAACACACCACCTCTAAATGAACAGGCGGCATCAATTCTTGGAATCCAATCACTAGGATACAAAACATATAACAATATAAATAAACGTTATCAAAGACTAGCTACAGAATATGAGTGGACAAACTCAAATGGATCAGTATAGCCAGTTTCAAGAGAAAACCTTGCCAAATTTATTACATATTTATACTTCAAAGTTGAACCACACACTATTATATCCTACTTATCTGCACTAAAGCATTATCATACTATGAACCATATGGAATGGAACAATATCCACTATGATCTGTTAATAAAGCAACTGTTAAAAACAATAGAAAACAGTCACACATTCAAACCAATACAGCAAAAAGAACATATAACAAGAGACCAACTACAAATTATCAAAACTAAACTAAACTTATCCAACACAGAAGATTTGCTATTTCTAGCAATCGCATTGGTTGCATTCTATGGACTAGCCCGATTGGGTAAACTACTACTCCACTCTCAAACAGATACAGCAAAAGTGCCAGTAATACAGGCGATAAGATTTGACAGAACAAGAGAAGGTTCCTTTGCAACAATTCAGCTACCAAGAACCAAAAACCACAACACAACCGAGCACCCCACTCTAATAATCAACTCAACCAAAAATGAACTATGTCCCATCCACATACTTAAGGAATACATCATCTGCAGAACTGACCCAAAATACGCTCCAGGGAAAATAACATTATTCATAAAAGCGAAAGGAGACCCAGCAACAAAAAAGTGGTTCATATATAAGCTCAAAGCACTCTTGCCTAATAATGATGTAGCTGGGCACAGCTTTCGGGCAGGTGGAACAACAGAACTAGTACTACAGGGTGTGCAACTAACACTTATCCAAAAGATTGGAAGATGGTCATCAGATGCATTTTACAGATACATCAGAACACACCCAGCAACAGTAGCAGCCATCTTAAACAAGGCATATTCTGATTAACGACCATGGACACAAGGTCCTTCTCTACTTGGAACTGATCATTATCAGAATATGAGGGCATACACAATGTATAGAATAAAGAAAACGAAGAGATCAATAGCAAACCACAATGAGACAGAATGCACCTAGGCCAACTAATCAGGCAAGAGCAATAACACAGCTCAGAGTAAATATGCACAAACCACATGTGAAGCAGCCACCATATAGTAACTAGGCATGGCAACATTTTAAAAAAAACAATAATAATGATAATAATAATAATAACAATAAAAAAAAAAAAAAGAATGAAAAATAAGACAAAAATGGCAGGCTTCACATTCGTTTGGAAGACAAGCAGGATCCTACCATTTTTTCTTTGCAAATCCTTCATATTCACAGCTGGCCTGCAGTATGCAGGTGGGAAACCACCAGCTAGTTTGATGTGTTGCTAATCTGTTTGCAAAATTTGATTATCAGTCGGCCTGCTTTGTGCAGGTGGAAAACCACTGGCTGATGCTATAAGTCACTAGCTTAATTATACATAAATTGCACTTATGTATGCCATATATCTCTTTGTAAAGCAATATAATAAAGTTTAATATCCAGCCTTACGTGGGCTGGAGTGCATCCAAGTTCTGATGATCATATGCGAGTGAGTCTTTTCGTTCGAGTTGACAGAAGGTCAACAGATCGAAAAAGGCAATCGATGCAATGAAGCGCTGGCACCTGCAATCATATACAGAACTTGGTGCCAACAAGAAAATCCAGTACATGCGGCTCCCAAATAGAAATGGCATACATAAGGAGCACAGACAAACAACTCAATAAATAATAATACAAGAACCATGACATAAGGTCAGACATCAGCAAGTGGCTAAACAACAACCGGTAAAGCGAAACATTCGCACCTGACCCACCCGACCTGATCCTACCATTTTTTCTTTGCAAATCCTTCATATTCACAGCTGGCCTGCAGTATGCAGGTGGGAAACCATTGGCTAGTTTGATGTGTTGCTAATCTGTTTGCAAAATTTGATTATCAGTCAGCCTGCTTTGTGCAGGTAGGAAACCACCGGCTGATGCTATAAGTCGCTAGCTTAATTATACATAAATTGCACTTATGTATGCCATATATCTCTTTGTAAAGCAATATAATAAAGTTTAATATCCAGCCTTACATAGGCTGGAGTGCATCCAAGTTCTGATGATCATATGCGAGTGAGTCTTTTCAAGGTAATCTAACAAAACTTAGGATAGCTCAAGGGTGTCAAAAAGCAGGCCTAGTATAAGATATTTGGAACTTCAGAATAAGACCAGAAGAAATATGTATTGGAAACACAATTTAGCCTATTGAACAATAGTTAAAACAAGAGAGATAGGTATCAATTTTAAAGCAAGAGATTACTTATGGAGAGTACATGGCTATGGAACAAGCATAAGAGATTCAGTCAGGACTAAATTATAGACAGCAAGTAATAGTACAATAAATGAATGAGGTCTAATATATCTGAACCAACTTGTGGACACAAAAGAGGAGAATTTAATTATATGGAGACAGCTTAAAAGCCTTCTAGGACTGTCATGTAAAGAAAAAAAAGCCAAATAGTTTAGTAAAATAGAAGAAAAGATGTTAATAACATAGACAAGTAGAGAAATACATGACCAATACAAGATTAGAGATCACAACACACAGGCTCTAACGATCAACTAGACAAAGATATCTGAAAACAGAAGGAAGAAAAAGTGAATTGTACATAGACCAATACACAATCTGCAATTTAGTAAGATATCAAAAAAGAAAAAGAAAAAGATCTTAGCAGAACATTGGCTACTACAAAAAG